TCTTTTGACTCACCAGAATTGTAATATAGGGGTAAGGTAGAAGGTGATCGAGATCGTTCCTCATCTGAGTCAATGCATATGTAAGGTTGGTGTGACAGGGATTCTTCGTCCGAACTAGTATCTTCTTTTACCAAAGATAAAATTTGCATCTGAGTATAACATTTCATGATGAATGGAGAAAAATCAAAATACATAAATACCTTCTGAACTAGACCGAGAGTAAACAAAATTGCCGTCACCATTTAAATCCTCGAAAGACGTATAATAATCGCCTACAATTGCTATCATGTTAAAGATGTTCAACAAACGAATTTTTGAAATGAGAATTAAGAATTAAAAAAAGTGATATTTACTCGAATTATGTGAAAAATCAAAAAATAAAGTATTGTCGTAGGCAAAAGAAGACATTGAAGAATTTCGAGGTAGAAGAAAATGAATCTGCAAAAAAAAAAGGATTTACAGTAAGTTCACACTCGATTAAACTCATTTGTAGATGCACAAAGACTGCCACGAATTACGTAATTTGTTACGTTATAAAAATTCACGTGATTTAGGAGTTTTTTTTTATGGGAGTAATACATCCGATTCCTAACGGACACGGATTTACTTTTGCCCTTGAAAATCGGTTTACAATGCGTAATAGATATGCATGCAATGCAAATTTAGAAATTTAATGATGCTATGTAATCCGTGTCGGATATCTTTTGAAGCACATTATTAAGCTGTGCAAAACCAATAAATAGTGACATGTTTTCACCTTTCATCTCCCACCCAAATCTAACCAACTTTCAAATCCCTAATTATTCGATTCCTTTGAAAAGTTTTGATTCTAATTGAATTCGATAGCCTCATTTTTCATTAAAGTAAACAACAGTGTAAAAAGAACATTGATATTCAAAGATGGCATTAACAAATGCAGTCGAAGAAACTCATCTGGTTGTCTTTATTCATGGGTAGATGACATTAATCTATTTCGTGGCATTTATCGTCTTCCTTTGATTGAATCGAGCGATCTAAACGTTGTACAATACTGTAAATGTAGGTTGTGGGGAAATCCGGGACATCTGCAGTACTTTGTAGATAGATTCGTAGAAAAACATGGTAAAAATACTGAAGTTGTATGTATTGCCATTTTTTTCTTTACCTTCAAATCGAGATCCTTTTCTGAAACGCTCATGCTTACCGATTGAACAGCTAAATGTTAAATGCAATACCTCGTCATATACTTATGACGGTGTTGACCTTTGCGGAGATCGAATCGTAGAAGAAGTACGTATACAGTGGCAGAACTAATGCTTTTTATTTAATACAACCATCTTTTTTTTACTAACAATTAATATTTTCATTTCACGAAAAAAGATTTATGAAAATCTCGACTCATTTCGAAAGGCGCACACCAATTCCGATGGCATTGTAAATAAAAAGATCACCAAAATCTCGTTTATTGGATACTCGTTGGGTGGATTGATGGCAAGATATGTCGTGGGAATTCTTTATAAACGTGGATTGTTTGATGACATCACACCAATGGTACATGTTTTAATTGGACTGCAGAAATGACAAATCAATACCCTTTTATTCATCGATGATTTCTTTTTAATTTTTCACTCGAGCAGTCACTTACCACATTAGCCACACCACATCTAGGTATAAGGCGTGATGACGATAGATATTTCGCAAAAATTTTTAATTGGATCTCTTCGAGCATACTGTCCAGATCTGGTAATTAACTAGTGTAGAATTACGCTGAAATTACGCTTTTAGGGGAAACATTTCATCACTCGTTTACTCATCAACGCCGTGTATCGCATATTTTTTTATTTTAAAAAAGGTGAACAATTACAATATGTCGACAACTTTGAAGGCGAAAATGAACCACTCTTGCTCACTTTATCTAGACCAGGTACACGGTAACCTTCTTTGTATCCTCACTGCGAGCGCGTACATGCACAATACACTAATTATGCATTTGTATGCGCGTTATAGACAAAATATTCTACAAAGCTCTCACGAAATTCAAGTCACTACAACTGTTTGCAAACGTGATAAACGACAGCTCTGTTCCCTATTGGACATCTGCCATCATTGAAGTAGACCCATTTGAGAAGATTGATGACTTAATCCTGTGAGTATCATTTCACCTATTGAATTTAATATTCTTTTTATCATATGAAATGTTAAGGAATCTGAATTCTTTATTCTTGAACACATCACATTTAGATATCCAAATAAAAAATGTCAGGACATTATAGACCGCATAGCAATTTCCAAATCTGTTGGCTGTGTCTCTTCTAAAACCGCCGATTCATCCACATCCTCGGATTCAGTTCACGCGACAACCCGCAACTCATTTTCCAAAAGACTACCTCGATACATGCTTATCTCGGCGGTTGCCCCAATTTTGCCAGTCGGTGCATTCTTTATTTTGGGGGCTATCGCCACCCAAGGAAGGTCCTCCAGGAAGCGGGTGGCGATGATTCAAGAAAAGAATGAAGATAAATTGAAGGATTTGAATGTTGTTGACGTAAATAATGGTGTGAAGAAAAATGAAGAAAACATAATTACCCAGGAATTTTCAAGCCTTGAAGAAGAAATCGTTGAAGGTGTGATGAATTTAACGAATCATGTTAGTCCACCTCAACCACGTAATACTTCGGACTCCTCGCAAAATGACTCGGAAACAATTTGTCTCTCGAATTTCGTCACCTCGTCGGAATTTACAAAGATTCCCATGTCACAACATCAATACCAGAGCTTACAAAACCTGAACACTTTGGGCTGGAAAAAGTATAGTGTAATGACGGACAGCGTGCATCCTCACGCGTCGATAGTGTGTCGAAATCGATTCCACCAAGGTGGCAAGGATATTATAAGATATTTTGTCGAGGAGCTTTTTGAGGTTTAGCCTACGAACTTTTTATCCTTGTTTCTTATGCAATTATTACTTCATCATTAAGCAAATAGAATAGATGTGTATGAATAGAATTGGTTCATTGAATTTTACTTTATTTAAATTAAATATAAAGGATTCGAAATTATCTTTAGTAACTTGATTTGGTTAATCAATTGATGATGCATATACCATTTTATCATTGTGCATTTGATGAGATCTTCATGCTAATTTACGAGTTCCTCTAAATAAACCAATTTCGAAGCGTCTACCATCTATCTGATGTCAACTACCTCTATCTACTGGAAGCATTTCCTATGTAACTAATAAGTTGAACTTCGTTTGAAGAACTGGAATTAAGTAAACTTTTAATGTTTTAATCCTTGATGTTCATTGTTTCTAGGGTCCATTGGAATTTTTCCGTCCTGGATGAAAAAGCAAAACTAACATTAATCTTGAATATACAGTATAATAAAAATTAACATTCAAATAAAGTTTTGTAACGTAAGATTCTTATTCGGAATTCCAAGTTCCCTTGTGTTCACAGTGTCATTTATGTGTACATGAAAAAGAACCACCCATCCTGAAATCAACATGAATTAATAAAAATTTTTATCTTATTTTTAAAGACATGAGCAAACAAAATTTTTAATTTTTTTATTATTTTCATATTAAATGTCCACGGTGTGGAACTTTTGGGGAAGAATGCCGATGACAGATCCGTTATTTCATGGGCTGGTATATTAAAAAAAAAAAAAAAAAAAAAATCTTTCTTTTTTACTTTACTTTTTTTTTTCAATGGAAATTCATATCCTCGAATTATTCTTATTAATACGAACAAGACATTAAATGATTAACAAAATTTTATGTAATATTCTTTATCTTCCACCGCTTCCGAAAGGTGACCATCCAAATAACGCTGTGATAAAGATTGTGGTTATGATTGTAATAGTAATAGACATAAGGTAGCTAGCTAAGTATGGTGTGAACTTACTGTTTTTAATGCTATCCCAAAGACCTTTCGGCTCTGATGTTCGCGGGTTAGTCACTGCTCTGCTACCGCTGCTGCCCACGTTACTTTCTTTATCATCTTCACTTTGAACATCAAATACTTCGGACGAAATCCATGATGTTTCATCTTCATTCTCGGTGGTTGGTTGGTCTAATTCCATCGTACCCCGGTCGTCAGACTTACCATCAGATATTTCACTCGTGTGAATGTGTTCGTCTACTTCCTCCGTTTTAATGTGCGTCACGAGACCATATTCATTCACAAATTCTATCTTAGTTCTCTTGCTAGCATGACGTTCGGATCTTCGAGTGCCAACCAATACTTTTGAGGCTTCTCTACCGCGCCCTCTACCTCGTCCGCGTCTCATGCCGCGAGATGACCCCCTACGGTAGCCTCCTGTTCCTCTGTTGAGCTCCTGACCCCTGACGCTGTTTCCACGATTGCGAATATGATTTCTCTCATTACTTTGCGGATAATTATCTTCTCGTGATTTTTCTATCTGGGTCTTTGGTGACGGCGATGGCGACGATGAAGACGCCACGATCTCTGCTGACAAGTTCCACTCTGATTGTGATTGCTGTCTGGTGCGTCGTTTGGGAAGTTGGTTCAGATATGCGTATGTTTCCCGTTGCGTCCTCCTATGACGCTTCTTTGGCGTTTCAATAATCTCTATTAAACTTTCATCTTGCTCCTCAACCTTAATTTGAACTTGGTTGCTCGAATTATCCTGTGCTTCGAATTCACCGGACACCACTTGACCTACTTCTTCCTTAACAACAGGCGATGGAAACACTTGTTGAGCAGATGGCGAAAGATCCGACATGGATGATGTTTCCGAGATTGTTGGTTCTGGAAGAGGCAACGTTCCTTTGGAAACGTTTTTAATTTCGCTCATTTTATTCACAGGTGAGGAGATTTCGTCTTTGGTCGCATCTCTGTCCAAAGACTTACTATTATCTGAAAATTCGGAATTTTGATCTGTTGGTGATTCTCCATGTTCGGGTGAAGATTCCATTTCGGAAGATGTATCATTTTTGTCATTCGTCTTAAACTCCGGATGCTTGCCATTTTCTTTCGGAAACGATTCTTCGTTTGGTTCAATCTTAACGTCCGATCCGTCGCTCAATATCCCCTCGACGAACGCATTATATGTCTCTGGTGTGAGCGTGTTTTCGTCAAATTTGCTTATGCTGTATGGTAACAATTTTTTGGCAAACCAATGCGTTGCTATTGATAATTCGATTCCGTCTCGTCGATCTAACACAACGAATCGAACCCATCCCTTGGCATCATTTATATCGGAAAATTCCAATGTTTCTAGATCGTGCATTCTTCCGAACGGTCTTGCAAATAGAACGCTAAAGCGGAAGCGCCTTTCTTTTCTGATAAAATTCATGTTGCCCAGGATTACGGCTACGGCGGATGGATTTTGGATGCACTCATTTAACGTGGATAGTCCTTTGGTCAAATAAACGCGGATGAAATCCCTGGTCAAAGACGA